TGATATCCAAATTATCTACTACCATTTATTGAGAAGATTATTATTTCCTCACTGCACTGCAGTTTCACCATTGTCATAAATCAGGTAATGGTATAAGTATGAGTTTGTTTTTGGTTTCTCGATTTGTATGTCCTTCTCCTAATACTATCTTATTTTAATTGTAGTAAAGATGGAAACATCTGATGGTATACATTCTTGAGCTCTGTTCTTCTTCAGAATTTTCTTGGTTCTTCTTGTCCTTTTAAATTTTCAAAAAAATTTTAAGCCAGCTTGTCAGTTTTCAAATTACTTGATAGGATTTTGAGTAGGATTGCATTCAACCATAATTTAATGAGTAGAAATGACTTATTTACAATAAAAAATCTTTCTATTCATAAACATTGTGTGTCTTTTTTTATGTATACAATATTTATATCTGTTTTTAAAATTGTACTTTAAGTTCTAGGATACATGTGCAGAATGTACAGGTTTGTTACATAGGTATACATGTGCTGTGGTGGTTTGCTCCACCTATCAACCTGTAATCTAGGTTTTAAGCACCACATGCATGAGGTATTTGTCCTAATGCTCTCCCTCTTCTTCCCCTCCAACCCCTGACAGGCCTCTGTGTGTGATGTTCCCCTCCCTGTGTCCATGTGTTCTCATTGTTCAACTCCCATTTATGAGTGAGAACATGCACTGTTTAGTTTTCTGTTCCTGTGTTAGTTTGCTGAGAATGATGGCTTCCAGTGTTGGGGTCCGCATGTTTCCTAAACAAAGGAATGAACACTCAAGACAACACAAGACAAGACAAACATGGCGGCTGCCTCGAATGGCGTGCTCTGCTTTATTTTATACAGTCGTTTGTGGAATGTTGCCAAGTCACAAGACACATTGTTGTTTTTCTGACCTTTCCCTGACTTTCTGGATTTTCAAGATGTTTATACATAAACAAGCCCCCAGCGTCTGCTGTTAGCAGCTGGCTCCTTTGTCCTCCCTGTTTGCAGAGAAGGAACGCCCTGCTTCGTTTGCAAGAGCAGGACTTATCGGGAACATCTTGTTTGCGAGCACGTAGTCCTCTACATTCCAGTTTCATCCATGTCCCTGCAAAGAACATGAACTCATTCTTTTTTTATGGCTGCATAACATTTCATGGTGTACTCTAATTTGTACATGTCAAATGTAGAGCTCAGGATTAAGAAACTCACTCAAAACCACACACAATTACATGGAAATTGAGCAACCTGCCCCTGAATGACTATGGGGTAAATAACAAAATTAAGGCAGAAATAACAAAGTTCTTTGAAACCAGTGAGAACAAAGAGACAATGTACCAGAATCTCTGAGACACAGCTGAAGTAGTGTTAAGAGGGAAATTTATAAAGCTAAATGCCCACAACTGAGGCTGGAAAGATCTAAAGTCGACCCCCTAATATCACAATTTAAAAAACTAAGAGAGTAAACAAATTCAAAAGCTACACGAAGACAAGAAATAACTAAGTTCAGGGTAGAAACGAAGAGATAGAGACATGAAAACACTTCAAAATATCAATGAATCCAGGAGATTAACAAAATAAATGGCCACTAGCTAGACTAATAGAGAAAAAAGAGAAGAATCAAGTAGACATAATAACAAATGATAAAGGGGACTTGGTATGGTGGCTCATGCCTGTAATCCCAGCACTTTGGGATGCCAAAGTGGGTGGATCACAAGGTCAGGAGTTCGAGACCAGCCTGGCCAATATGGGTAATCCCATCTGTACTAAAAATACAAAAATTAACTGGTGTGGTGGTGTGCGTGCCTGTAGTCCCAGCTACTGGCGAGTGCGAGGCAGAAGAATTGCTTGAACCCAGAGGTGGAGGTTTCAGTGAGCCGAGATTGCACCACTGCACTCCAGCTTGGGTGACAGAGTGAGACTCCATCTCAAAAAAAAAAAAAAAAAAAAAAAAAAAGAATTAAAGGGGGTATCCCTGTTGAACCCCCAGAAATACAAAGTACCCTCAGAGAATACTATAAACACCTCTCTGCAAATAAACTTGAAAATCTAGAAGATATGGATACATTCCTGGCACATACATCCTCCCACCACAAAATCAGGAAGAAGTCGAATCCGTAAATAGACCCATAACAAGTTCTGAAATTGAGGCAGTAATTAATAGCCTACCAACCAAAAAAACCCAGGACCAGATGGACTCATAGCTGAATTATACTGGAGATATAAAGAGAAGCTGGTACCATTCCTTCTGAAACTATTCCAAACAATGGAAAAAGAGGGACTCCTCCCTAACTCATTTTATGAGGCTGGCATCATCCTGATACCAAAACCTGGCAGAGACACAACAAAAAAAGAAAATTTAAGGCCAATATCCCTTATGAACATTGATGTGAAAATCCTCAATAGAAGACTGGCAAAATGAATCCAGCAGCACATACAAAAGCTTATCCACTAAGTGCAACACTTTTTTTAAAAGTCATGCTTCAATAAACACTTCCATTTAGTCAGGAGACTATCTCTTTAAATCTAACATAGATTATAGCCTTAAAATGAATAAGAGTCTTCTTTTATGTACTCAACAGATGTTTACTTACAGCCTATTTTATGCTGGGTAGTATTATGGGAACTGGAGAGAGAAGGTCTGTCTTTATGGAGTTTGCAGTATAGTGACAGAGGTAGAACATAAATGCATAAACAGTTCCACATTAAAGTGATGGATGTACTAAGTGCTATGAAGAAATATATTAGCCAAGTGTGGTGGTGCTCACCTGTGGTCCCAGCTACTTGCGAGGCTGAGACAGGAGGACTGCTTGAGCCCCAGAGTTTGAGGCTTCAGTGATCCATGATTGTGCTACTGCACCCCACCCTTGGTGACAGAGTGAGACATTTTCTAAATAAAAAGTATAATAATACAAAGAAAATAAGGTAGGGTAATCACATTCAGGGGTCAGGGGCTGCTACTTTAGATAGGGAGCTCTGGAACAATCTTTTTGAGGAGATGACACTTGAGCAGGTCAGCGATGATGGAGTGAGTTAAGCAAATGTCTAGAGGGCAGAGAGAAGAAACACTGTGCAAAGTCTGAATGCAGACAGCACTTGATGAGCTCAAAGACCACGACAAAGACCAGTCAGGCTACAGGCACTGGGAGGAGGAAAGGAGAATGCACACAATCCGAGAAGCAGATAAACACAGACCGTAATAAACAGCTTGGATTTCTTTGTTAATTGTGATAGGTAACCACTGGAGGATTCAGAGCTGGGAATGCAATGGTGTAAGATATGTTCTTACAGGAATAGGCCAGCTTTATGGGAGAACAGATTACGGATTGCCATAAATAGAATAATAATAAATGCAAAAGCAAGTTAGAAATGATTATATCTGTCCAGGGGTTGATACTGGTGGTGTTAGAACTGTGAGGTCCAGCATGACAGCCACCAGCTGCATTTAGTTGTTTACATTTAAATTAATTAGAATACCATAAAATGTATCCCTACCGGGGGCTTGGGAGGAAAGGGAGAATGAGGAGTTATTGCTTAATGAGTACAGAGTTTCAGTTTGGGGTGAAAATTTTTTTGGAAATACATAGTTTTGATGATTGCACAACATTTTGAATGTAATTAATGCATCTGAATTTTATGTTTAAAATGGCAAAGCTTACTTATTACGTATGCTTTACCGCAATAAAACATTATAAAATTAATCACAGAACCAAAACTCTAAAACCATTTTTAAAAATTGTATAAATTTAAGGAGTCCAAGTGCAATTTTGTTATGTGGGTATATTGTGTAGGAGTGAAGTCTGGGCTTTTAGTGTGTTTATCGCTGGAACAATGTACACTGAATCCACTAAGTAATTTCTCATCACCCTTTCCCCTCCCACCCTCTCACCCTTCTGAGTCTACAGTGTCTTATCATTTTACACTCTTTGTTCATGTGTACACATTATATATTTCCCATTTTTAAGTAAGAACATGCAGTATTTGATTTTATGTTTCTGAATTGCAAAACTATAAAACTCTTAGAATAAAAAATAGCAATAAATCTTCATGGCCTTGGATTTGGCAATAGTTTCTTAGATACGGCACCAAAAGCACAGTGATAAAAGAAAATGTACTGGGCTTCATCAAAATGAGAAACATTTGTGTTTCAAAGGACATAACAAAGAAAATAAAAGGACAGCCAGAAAAGTGGAGAAAATGTTTGCAACATATATATTTGATTAGAAATCTGTATCCAAAATGCACAAAAAACTTTTACAACTCAACAGTAAACAGAAAAAATACATAAAAATAGGCAAAATATTTAAATAGGCATTTTTTGTGAAGAAGATATGAGTGTCCAATAAGTGCATGAAGAAAAGCGTAACATCACAAGCTATCAAGAAAATACAAAATCAAAACCACAAGGAGATACCACTTAACACCCACTAGTGTACCCACAATAAAAAATGACAAACAGCTGGACGCGGTGGCTCACGCCTGTAATCCCAGCACTTTGGGAGGCAGAGGCGGGCAGATCATGAGGTCAGGAGATTGAGACCATCCTGGGTAACATGGTGAAACCCCGTCTCTACTAAAAAATACAAAAAATTAACCGGACGTGGTGGCGGGTGCCTGTAGTCTCAGCTACTCGGGAGGTTGATGCTGGAGGATGGCATGAACCCGAGAGGCGGAGCTTGCAGTGAACTGAGATCACTCCACTGGACTCCAGCCTGGTGAGGCCGTAGAGAAATTAGATCTTTCATACATTGCCGGTGGGAAAGTAAAATAGCACACACTTTGAAAAACTGTGAGGTGATTGCTGAAAAGGTTGTGCGTAGGTACTTTATGACCCAGCAATTCCATTCCTACGTACATACCCAAGATAAATGAAAACTTATGAATGAAACGTACGAAAGCTTGTTTCTAAATATTATAGCAGTATTTTCATAATTCTGAATAATACATACTAAATCGAAGGGATATTAAAAGTAATATTGTAGAAATAAAGTTAAAATATAAAATTTTTACCAGAGACTGATTTACCTGATTCAAATTACTTCTTACAGTCTTCAATTTCATATTTTGTATATTCGGAGAGCCAGTTCAAGTTGCTTCACTTGTAACTTTTTCTTACGTTGCTCTTCGATTCTTCCTAATTCTTGCCTAATTTTTTCATTTAATATATTGACATTTCTTCTCTTCTTCTTGGTTTAAAGTCAATCTGCCATTAAATATACTTATATTAAAATTCATTTTGTTAGAAAATAGAATTCACTTTGAGATCTACTTCTTCCTATATTGGTTTATTATTCCAAAAAAATTCCTGTATTCTTGAATATTTTTTTCCTTTCTAGTTCTGAGGTATTTACTTTATTACTAGACTCTCTTCCAAATGACACACATACCTGAAAAATAGTGAGAAAAGAACATCTTCTAGTTAAAAATGTTCTGTTACTAGTAACTTCAACAACTGTTATGGAAAAGAATACAGGAAGCTATCCAGTAAATTTATAAGCTGAAAAGTATTATTTTAAAAATATAACTGTCAAAATTACTCCTCAATGTGGACAGATCATTTAGAGTTAACCAATTAAAATGACATTACTTTTGTAAACAAGTTTACAGAATTATTAGACATAAATATTCATCTTTATAAAATAAGGCAAGTATCCCTAAAAATCATTATAATATTAAAATCTGAGACTAGGCTAAATAATCTAACATCTATTTTCCCATATATCTTTTGTTTCTTTTTTTAGTAATAATTTAAATGTATCTTGCTGATTATTATATATTTTATCAACAAATTTTAAATCTCTTTTAGAATAAGACAGAATATAATATTTAATTAAACAACAAAAATAATACGTATTTTTAACATGAACTCTGAATTAATTTTATTTATGTAGGAGAGAGAGATATTGAATATGCTAATCATAAATTACTCTATATTTTTCTTTATACTCCACGCATATTAAGATTACAAGTGTATAATTAAAAGAAAATGATTATTGGGGGTAGAGGAATGGCCATTTCACACTCTCTTTGTTGAACTATGAATGAATATAAATTTTCGTGAGAACAATTAAGAAGTAATGAACAAAGAACTTCTTAAAAACTTCCTATAACTTAACCAAATATTTTTATATTGAAGAATTTATTCCAAGTCAATAATTAGAATGGTAGAAAAAGACTTACTTGCAGTTATGCCTTGCAACACTTATTATAACACACAAAAAATTAAAAATAAGAAAATTTAACTTGTTAAGTTAATAATGGGGTTTCCAAATAATGGCCTTCTATATAGCCATTAAAAATGTGATTTAAATAAATATGCATTTAATTATCAGGAGAAGTATTCACAGTTAAAAACTTGTATTATTTAAAAGAATTTGACACTCTATAAGACAGATATATTTTTCTCCAGTTAAACCTCAGAAGGTAAGACAGCTAGTACAAAAAGCATCCTATATTCTAGTATGTTATACCTCACCCTACAGAGCTCTTGTTTCCATTTAATTTTTTGATTCTCTGTGATTTTATTTCTTTTGCTTCTGATCGTTCCTTTTGTAGTACACAAAGCTTCTTTTTCATTTGTTTCATTTTTGCCTAAAGCTGTTCCCACAGGGACTTTTTTTTTTTTTTTTTTTTTTTTGACAGAGTCTCGCTCTGTCGCCAGGCTGGAGTGCAGTGGTGCGATTTCCTCTAACTGGCAAGCCTCGCCTTCTGGGTTCACGCCATTCTCCTGCCTCAGCCTCCCGAGTAGCTGGGACTACAGGCACGCGCCACCACGCCTGACTAATTTCGTTTTTACATTTTTAGTAGAGACGGGGTTTCACTGTGTTAGCCAAGATGGTCTTGATCTCCTGACCTCATGATCCGCCCGCCTCAGCCTCCCAAAGTGATGGGATTACAGGCCTGAGCCAAGGCGCCCAGCCCACAGGGATATTTTTTAAGTTCCCTTGCTTTTTCACAAGAAAGAACTGCATCCAAGATTTTTGATAGGCTAGTTGAATCTGTCTCAAGGAGGAGATAGAAATAAAATAGATTAGTACTTTTGGGACATAAAGAACCGCATATTTCAACAATCACTAATTCATACACTGAACAAATATATATTGATTGCCTACCATGTGGAAGGCATTATACTAAGCTCTGCAGATTAAACAGAAAAAAAGAAAAAAAAAGAAAAAACAACTCTGCCCTTCCTTAACTTAAAATGTGCTGAAAGACAAAGCCCCAGAAAAGTGACAATTATAAATTCAGATAGATACTATAAGAAAACAGATTGCTAAGAATTAGATCTATACTAGGCTCATGGAAAATTCCCCTGAGGAATGTATAGCTACACTGAGGAATGAAGACTGAAAAGGAAGCAGTTGAGCAAACAGGGAAGGAAAGCATTTTAGCCAGTGTGTGGCATGTGCTGAAGCTCTAGTGTAGTCTGCCTCTAGCCAAGAGAGGTACTGATTTTTCTTTGTAGCTAAAATAAATAAAATCAAAACACACAAAATACATTAAACAATTTTTTAGACACTGGACATTAGGCAAAGAAGATAATAATCCCTGAAAAACAGAAAAAAAAAGAAAAGTTTTATGAAGTTTCAGCTTTCTACCTTGACAGAGATTCCAAGACATGACACAGGAAGAAAAAACTGAGGTGGGATCTACCAGACTCTCTTGGTTACATTGATGAAGCTTAGTGTCTGGTAAAACCAAAACAGACAGACATTATAGAACAAACACTGAGGAGGAGCTAGAGGTACAGAGGCAACGGCAAGAAATCCCTGTAAACCCCCTGTCAGTATTCAGCAAAATTTTGAACATTGCATGTGAGCTAGAAAACTACCTAAGGGGGTGGGGGGTGGCTTATAAAATTAGAGGAAATCACACCTGGTGCTTGCACAGTGCCAAGAAGTGTGTCTATTTTTATAGATTTGCCTGGGAAAACCCAGACTTCATGGGAAAATGAATAGTCAGAAAGGCCTTGCCTCAGGTGTGGGGAGTTAGCTCATACCATAAAAAGCAAAAATGAAAAGGATCAAGCTGTTTATAAGTAACTCAACTCTATTCTACTATAAAAATCAAGAAGATAAGTAAAGCATAGAAGATACTTTTAAAAACCAAATTGCACTTGTAGAGATACAAGTTACAATGCCGGAGATGAAAGCTGCACTGAGTAGATATGAGCATGGATTAATTCGCCATCACGAAAGAAAAGATGCACAAATTTGAGACACTAGTGAACTATGAGCAAACTTCCAGCAGATAATATATAAGTCCCCAAAGAGGTAGAAGGAGAGGCAGAAAAAAAATTTGAGGAAAAGTTGGCTAAATATATTCTAAACTTAACGAAAGTCATAATCCCACAGATCTAGGCTGGGATCTGGCTGACAGAAAAGAAATGAAAATACATGATTGTAATTTCTTATACCATCTATGTTATGATATAATATTACTTGAAGGTGGGTTGTGATGAGGTAAATTCATACATTATAAATCCTAAAGCAACTACTAAGACAGCAAAGAGTTATACCTAATACCAAATAAGCTTATACCAAAAAAGATATGACAAAATTATAAAGAAATGTAAAACTAGATTAATAACTAAAAATGTTATACATGTATAGATATGTAACTAAATCATAAAAATTACTAAACTAGTCTGAAGGAAGCAGAAAAAGGAAAAAAGCAAAGCAAATAAGATCTGGGACTAATAGAAATCAAACAGCATGATGACAGACAACTCTAATCATATCAATAATTACATTATAAATTAAAATGGTCTAAAGACCTCTGCTCAAAGGCGGATTTTGAGAATGGATAAAAAAGCAAGACTTACATGTATAATGCCTAAAAGAAATAAACTTTAAATACTAAAACAAAAATTGGTTAAAAGATGAAACAAGATACACTACACTAACACTTGATAAAAGAAGGCTGAGGAAGAGTATTAATACCAAAGTACATTTCATAGCAAAAATATTACCAGCAATGAACAAGGTCATTTTATAGTGACAAATGGTTCAATTAATCAGGAAAACATAACAGTCCTAAATATTGATGTACATAATAACATAAATGCTTCAAAATACATGATACAAAAGTTGATAGAACTGCAAAAGAAATGGACAAATTCCCAAGTATAGTCTAAAATTTCTAAACCCCTTACTCAAGTGGTATAATGAGGCAGAAAATTCTGGAAAAGTGTTGGCATGTGTACTCACCAGTCTAGACATTTTCCCACCCCTGTGTATGTATGCTGCTTTAGTTACAAAAAGTTAGGTAGAATCTCGGGAGATTTCTTCTTGGATACCAGAAATATCAACCACATCAACAGTATACCTAATAACTCTAAAATAATTCTTTTGAACAGATTACCAGTAAAGAACTTGTAAGTTAAATCCAGTAGACCTTTCAGTAATTTTACTGCTTGAAATTCTCACACTTAAAAGATATTTGCAACATCACTTTCTCTGACTCCTCTCCTACGTTTCTTTAGCCACTGCTCAGTCTCCTTTACCAAGTCCTTTGACTCTTGTGAAATTTTGATATTCCCAGAGTTTTGTCAATGTCTTTATTTTCATTCTACATCTACTACATCATGGAAAAGCTCATTGAGATCTATGGCTTTGCCTAATAATTATAATAAAATTATTCTAAACCTGCATCTTCAACCAGAGTTCTATCTCCAGCTAGAAATGCCTATAATCCCATTACCTACTGAAAGTATCCCACATGAATTTTTCATTGAACTCAATATGTAAAGAAAACTGCTGGGCTGTCCCATGACTGTTTGCACTTCTCTGTTAACCTGACAATTTCCTACTCCTTCCCCATGAGCATTGAAAATGCTTGTGCACAATCTGATAATTTATGAATGACCTGAGAGTGTAACTGTCCCCTAGCTTTTTAAACTCAATAATCACTAAACCGGGGGTGGAGCAAGATGACAGAATAGGAACAGCTCCATCTCCAACTCCCAGCGCCAGCGACATAGAAGACAGGTGATTTCTGGATTTTCAACTGAGGTACTGGGTTCATCTCACTAGGGAGTGCGGGACAATCAGTGCTGGTCAGCTGCTGCAGCCCGTTGAGCGAGAGCTGAAGCAGGGAGAGGTATCGCCTCACCTGGGAAGTGCAAGGGGGAAGGGAATCGCTTTTCCTAGCCAGGGAAACTGAGACACACAACACCTGGAAAATTGGGTAACTCCCACCCCAATACTGCACTTTACCAAGGATCTTAGCAAACAGGCACACCAGCAGATTATATCCCACACCTGAACAGGGATGGTCCCAGGCCCACGGAGCCTCCCTCATTGCTAGCACAGCAGTCTGTGATCTACCAGCAAGGCAGCAGTGAGGCTGGGGGAGGGGTGCCCACCATTGCTGAGGCTTAAGTAGGTAAACAAAGCCTCTGGGAAGCTTGAACTGGGTGGAGCCTGCTCTGTTCTTTGTTTTCCATTTTAAAGTTTACTTCTTGCTTTTATGCTTCTTGCCCCTAGTTTCCAATAAATGACCCCTTCTAGCCCCTATCACCTACTCTGTCCTTAGTCATCTAGTCACCTGCTGGTGTCCTTAGTCATCCTTAGTCACTTGCTCTGTAACCGTCCTTCCTGCGGAAGTAC